AAATGGTATTTTCCCTAGTAACACACTCAGTATTGGAATTTCTTACTTCTTCCATATTTTTACTACTATTATTATGCTTATCTTGATCAGTCCACAGAATTCCCCAGGAATTTTAAGTACCTGTTTTAAAAATTTACCATACAGAATAAGAAAAAAACATAAAACCCATTATGTTATGGTAAGCTTTTTTCTTCCTTACGGTGTTTTTCGTGACTCTTTTTTCTTGACTTCATATTGTGCCATCTAGTACCTGTGCTTTCCCATCTGGACTTCTCCCACGTTTTGTTAACTAACAAAACAGTCTTTCTTTGTAGGGGCAAAAATCCAAAATAATAATTACTATAAATAACAGTTGGAGTTAACAGGAGTGTTCAGAGTTCATCTTCCCCTTATAATACTGTTTCCTGCTTCTTATAAAAACAGTAGGTAAATCGCTGAAAATAAACTTCCCAGGTTTTAGGTAGTTTCCTTCAGGTTGAATTTTTCTGTAAAGGTTCAAAAAAAATAAGTTTTAAAAAATCTTCAAAAATAAGGCTGCGTATGCATTTAATATTTCGTAAGTGATGCTTCAAATAATCTGACAGATCTGTAAAACTGCTTTTAGGAACAAAATGAAAATTGACCAGGAGGGTTATTCCTGTATCAAGGCTCATCTTCTGTCCTTTCAAAAATTTCCTTCCTCAGTGCTAAACTACATGAAGATGAAAGAAATCCTGAGTTTTGAGAATTTCAGTTCACACATAGTTATCAGAACCTGGTAAAATTACTCTCATAATATTTCCTTTTTTTTAGAGCTCTGTAACTCTTATGTGCCAGCTTAACTGGAAACTCTCTCAACTGCACAGGACAACCAAGTCTATTCTAATTTCAGGCTACTAAAGTGCTACAGAAATTACCATTACAGCTTGCTGGCAAACTGTGCTGTGAGGCACCCAGTCATGAAAACTGAGCAACTGTTCAGATGTTAACGCCCACACGGCATTTTGGAAGAACCAGCAATGTGAATACTGAGACCTGAACACAAAATAGCTGCGAGCAAGCCCATGCAGACTGGGAAAGCCAGGAACAGAAAGCTACAGCTGCTGCAACAGAAATCATAAAGTAGAAGCATAGGTAAATAAACAGAGGATCTGACAGGTAATGTGATGCCATGAAGAATTTTCTATTGCACAGCAACATGAAGTGACTGGAGTTGGGTCTTGAAGCACTGCAGAATAATGAAAACTTCCAAATGGAAACGCACCACCAATATGTAACAAATATACAACATTATAAAAATATCAAAGAGTTTGAAAAGAGCAATGGCTTAATCTGGATGTTGACATTTCCCATATAGTTTTGACTTTTGGGAATGAAATTTCTCTGCCTCAATTTTTCACTTATAAAATGGATAGTATTCTGAAGATGACTTTATTGCTGTCAACAAAACACTCAGATATCCTGATGAAAAGAATATTTAAACTAACTAGGTATCTAATAATTTTTATTTTAATATAAAAATCAGATAAAAAATCTAAATAAAATTAAATATTGAATGTTCATTCACTTAAGGTCTACAAAAGGGATAGCAGGTAAATTATTTTAGCATTTAGTGTTTTATCACAGCAAGAACCTGTAACGGTCTAATAAAGCTATCACAATCCCAGATATAGAGGCAAAAACTGGAATCATTTATTGAACACACAAGTGCTATTTAAGGGTCTTGGGGGCTTACATGCTAATGAGGAGGCAAGGTTATTCCAAACAGGGGATTTCACAATCTATTAGCATTTCCAGTAACAGAGGTGACATAAGGGGAAAAATGGATTTACATTTCTTGGATACAGTATTTACATTTTGGGGAAAAAGGTTTGATATTTCCAGTAAGCAGGGTTACATTGGGGAAGGGGGATCAGCTTTACCAAAAAGAAGGATTTACACAGGGAGGGAGAAAACAATGGGATAACTGCTGGCATCATGCAAAGTCTCTCTACATCCTGCTGGGGGAGATCAGGACAATGGATCTTGTCTGGTGGTTTTTTCCCCAGCCTCTGTGGCCCAAGGTTTCCTGTTTAATCCTAGCAGTGTCTTTTCTGTTGAGATCCAAATTTCAGACTGCAACAACAACCTACACTGCAGATAAACAATATTTGGATTATTTTTTTGTTTAAGAACACAGTAATACTGTGATAGAAAGGATACCTCTAACCTGACATACTAGCACATTCCCAGCAAATAAAACAAGAACAATGCAGTAATTTCTCTGCTATGCTTCTCCATTTCTTGCAATTAAATATTTAAATTTTAAAACCACTTAATAAACTTCAAATGCTGGAATTCGTGGTCTTAAAATTCCTTTCTAATGCAGCTTGGTCAGTTATCATTTCTAAAGAACATATTGAATATAATCAAAATAGCAATACTGCCATTTATAATGACTTTAAAAGCGGTTCATTTCAAACTCTAGAGCTCAGACCAAGTAGCCCGCCCTTTAATGCCTTGCTGTGTAGTGGTCAAGTGCAGAAAGAAAGTATTCAGCAGTGGCACCTGTGTATGCTAATTCAAACTGTCCAAAATCTAGCACACCATTTATCCTCAACCAATAATTTTTAGAAAAAAAGGATGCACTACCTTCTATGATTAATTACATAACCACATTCATAAACTCTTTATTTTAGTCTGGCAATTTTTTCTCTATGCTTTAGCAGACCAGTGTGCTTAATTTTCAGTAAGGTAAGATACACAAGAACAATAACACAACTGATAGACTATCTATTCTTTGAAGGCATTTTTTTAATACTAAAGACTGTAAAACCCTTAGAAATATTAATTCCTTACAGCATATGCTGTGTCTTTAATTTGGAAAACATTTACTTTTAGATGAAGGACTCAAAAATGCTGAGAAGCATGAGCTACTAAAAAGGAAATGCCTATTTCGGAGTGAAAAATTACCTGCTTAGTGGCCCACTGATTTGTATTTTAATAGGTGTATGGGATGCTAATCCTAAAAATTTTACCTGACTCCTCTGAAGTTACTGAATGTTGTTCATGTCATTTCCGCCTTCATCTGTGTTAAGCAATTTTTTCCACTATTTTCTATTGAAAGCATTTGAACTGAATAAATCTAGGTTCAGAGGAAGTATTCTAAAATGTATTTCCTCATTATCCAAAATGTTACCTTAACATTGAAGTTAAGACAAAAGGTAGACATACCATCAAACAATAATAAAAAATATTTAACATTCATTTAAATAATTCATTGAAAAGAATTATGTGCTCATTCATAAATTAAGTATATTATGCATTTATGCTTAGGCACAGAAAAAACCCCCAACAAATCATATTTACCTGATAGCTACAAGAAATTCAGAAGCTGGAGTGATAGGAAGACATCAAACAGCTGCTGAGTCCTTTTCTAAACAGGAACTCAAACCCATTAGCACAACCCAAACACTACTCTTCATAAAATATGAAGAGAAGAGGTGACCAAAGTACAGACTTCGTGCTACTGTTTTGGGGGAATGAAAAGATGAAAAGGTAGAGAACACAAACTTTGGTCCAGAAAAGACCAAATGTGGCTCACATAAGAACTGGTTTTTTTACTGCATCCCACTGCTATCCTTAGTAATTCTACAGACTTGCTTGAGCACCATGACAAAGCCAAATTCTCAGCACAAAAACCTGAGAGTTGTGTTGTCAATTGAAGCAAACGCAACGCTGTAATCAAACAAATGAAAGGTCTACATCTCCTTTTTACATCTGTTCTTCCTGAATGTCATGTCTATCCAGGATCTACACAAACCATGCAGCGTGAAGTTATAACTGATATCCAAAGTTATTTTTCATTCAGATTTCTGCAGTTCTCATAATTCATGTTAGTCTCCTGATCACCCAACCAAAGACTTTATCTTAAAACATGTCAGCCTTCTCTTCTTAACAGTCACACTGACTTTTGACACCCATTCTACTAAACAGCTATGTATTTAGACACCGTTTGTCTTCTCTCATAAGACTATAAAACATATAGTTCCTTTAAAAAGCTTTAATGCACAAAAATCTATCTTATAAAAGTTTTGTTACATATCGTTTCTCTCCGTATTTTGGTGTAGCACATTATTTCCATCAGTTCTCAAACTGCTCTAGAAAGTTCAAATTTATATCTTTGGATGGCTACGGTTGTACTTTTTTCCTCCAGTGTATTAAAATCAGTGCTCTGATACAGTTTAGGTTCTATACAAATCAAGTTATTCTGGTGATGAATGATGAAACCTTTCATTTCTAACATAATGAAAAGATTGCTTATTCTACTGCTTATTCTACTTAATGAATTTAAACTGAGGTTTTTTGCATTTTTGAGGTGTTTTGCATTTTTGTTGAAAATACTACTCCTGTCTTAGAAAGTAGTTCTACTATACAGACTTGTATGTCCAGAGAATGGAATTACTGGCCATAACAGACATTCTCTGTATGACATGGATTTAAAAGCATGAAAAGTAACTCAGATATTTAAGCAATTATGAAAATCCAGTCTTCTACCTTCCTCAGTTCTTGGTAAAAATATATAGAGATTTAAATCTCTATCACTTTATTATACACCCACTGGATAGTTGCTTCTCGTAATGGTGATAGATGCCCCTTCAACAACTCCAGTATCAAACAGTCCCTGCTATCAGACACAATATCATAAAAGCAGTCTTGATCTGCTTTACTAGTCCATCTAATCACTGACAGTAAAGTTCTACACAGAAGAGAAGCAGGTATAACCAATCTGCTAACAAGTAAATTCAATCCAAGTTCTGCTAGAAACATAGTAAGTTTGTCCTACAGTATTTGTTGCAGTCCTCTTCGGATACTTAACATAACTCAACTATTAAGGGTATTACAGATGATTCCAAAATAAGTCATGTGTGCACTTAGAGACATTACTAAACCCAGAAACGTGTCAGACAGCAGGCACACACAGCCTGCTGACAGACAAACTCTAGCAAAACTTGCCCCCCAGGAGTTAAAAAAGTTACCACCTCCAGCTGCCCATTCCATTCCTCAGCTAGAGGTTCCTGCCCCTCACTCTTCTTCCTGGAAATCAACAGAAAGGAATGTGTATTGGTACACTCTTCAGTTCAAAACCTGGCAATTTAAACTGTTGATGAGTTTAAACTAACCTGATGGACTTTACATTGAAAAAAACCTTCACACCCCCTACAATCCATTCTGGTACAGAGAAAACAATCCTGCGGAAAAACCTGCAGCAAACTGTGAGGGGAGAGTAACGTCAAAATGCACATAGATGCTGTCTCTTCCTAAGGATACTTAGGAGTAACTTTTGATGACCTTATGTACTGATACAGCTGTATCAGTGAAACTTGGAAGAGTCTTCTCATTTTACTTCTCTTTCCCTTTATATAGTTCCTTTCCTGGGTCTAAACAATTTCTTTCATTGCCAACCACGTCTATAGAACACAGATTCCCTCTTCAGAAACTAACTCGACCTCTTCCTTAGGATTGTGGTACCACAGGGCCTGTGCTTTTGGTGTTTCAACTAGCTTGACAGAACTAACTTTATTATTCTCTAGTGCAACCACCTTGTAATCTGGATTCATGTAACTGAACCTGGTATTTTTGCAGTTTTTACAGTTAATCTTTTCTTTAATGAACTGCAAAAATGTCACAGGTTCTTATCAAATAGCTGTTTCTAAACAAATAAGTATATAAATAAATGTGCTTTCAAAGCCCAGAAGAGCCATGATGTGCAAATTTGGGTTTCATCACATAGACAGTTTGTACATGAGAAATGAACATGACAGAAATTTTCTGTTTTAACTAACAGTTTTCAAAACACCAGATTTGCACCTGTAACTAATACCTCTCTGTCACTTTGAAACCTAGAACTCTTCAGCTGTTTGAATTGATACTACCTGGTCTTATGAAACTATTTTGGATCCATAGTAATGTTTTATTTATTTATGTGTAAGACCCGTAAATTATATCATCAAGTTCAAATAATTGTCAATTATTCTAAACTGAAAAGTTTGCTCAAAAAAAAAATCTGAGTTGCGAATATTTTGTCATCAATTTGAATTCCTTTCAAAATTTTTAATTTTATTCCAGATTATAGGCTGTCTTTAAACTTTTCTTTAATTAACTTAATTTTTTTCTTAAAAAATTATTTTTATTTTTAAAAAGACTGAAATCATCTGTTTAACTTTATACCCCTTTTCAAACTTTCTAGGTTTTCATCTAGACTAAGAGTTGTTTAATTTGTCTCTTTTCTGTGTTAAGTATATTTCTGTGCCTAAGAACATTCTTAATAAAAGGAAATTACACAGTCAATATCATGACTTGGTAGGGATGGAGTTAAGAGTATATTCTGCAATCATATGTCACTATACACTGACTCCCATGACTAGTGTTCATAACAGAAAGGTTTTTTCCATCCACTAAAACTGGTATCAGCTAAATGACATCATTGTGACAGAGCCCGTAAAGCATCCTTTTCCTCAAGCTGAGGCATGACAGTCTCTGCTTGGTGCTTTTACAAGAGACATAAAAATACTTTGTGATGAAGAACTGGTAACTGGCTGAGTGAATGAGGTAAAATCAGGGTGAGGTGGATCAGTAGCACCCAGCTTCTTGCCACAGAATACAAAGGACAACGAAGTGTGAAAGGTTAGGCTGAATCAGTAATGTATTTACCTAACATGGCTTCGTATGCCACAGAATGGGCAAACCTCCCAGGAGCCAAAAATTAACTGTCAGGCTCCAAAACATACTGATTTTGGAGCCAAGAATATTTGGCTCCTTCTCCAGTGCAGGTTTTATTTTGCCATATACTATGCCACTACATAAAACAGTGTTCTAAAGTATAAAGTTCATTCTGAAATCAGAAATTTACCCTGAGATTTTCTTGCTGAAGGACTCACAATAATACTATGAAGGGAAGTGAAAATTTCTTCTTGCTTATCTTTTTATTCTCCATACTCTGTAGATCCAAAGCAAAAAAACGGAGATGAGAAGAAGGTTAGAAACAAAACTCCTTCAATGCAGTTTAAAAAGCCTACTTCTCTTAGCCACAGCCTTCTCACACCAGCTGTAAAAATGACCCACCCAGAAGAGGTGCTAACTGAAAGGGGCCTGTTGCAAGAGACAAAAGTTCCCCAAGCTGCTCGTGGTCACATTTATTTTAATCTTCATCATCCTACCCAGAGTTGCCTAAGAGGCTGTGTGTAGCTATTGTCTCTTAAAGAATTAACATTTCAATAATTAATAGAAGACAAATTCAAGAAAGTATTTAGACATTTTTGGTAAAAAAATCAAGAAGTAGATACACATCCCTAGATCAGAAAAGTTATCTATACAGTCTTCATCTAACTATCTAGGTGCCAAAGATGCTACAGGCACCTAAACTTTGACCTGCAAAATTAGTCAGACTTAAGTCCCAAGAAGACCAAAGGTGCTGCCACCTGGGCTGAAGTTAATATCTCCCCTTCACTTGAAATTCACAAACCAGACACCCTAAACTGTCAGCCACCCCGACACTCCCATCTGTGTGTACCATATTAGAACCAATATGACTTCAGTGGGAAAACAAAGGACTCATAGTAATCTCTGTTGATGGTCAGTGTCAACACTTGACATTTTGTTTATAGATGATTAAAGGAATCACACTGTAACTTGAACATCTGAGTAGAAATGTATCAACCAAAGAGTGCAAGCTACTCTCCCTCAGAAGACTACTAATCATCAGCTGCTGACAGGGATCAATCCTGTCGAGGTGCCAACATTATAAAAAAAGAACATGTTTAACAGATCAAAGAGTGCATAAAAACACAATTCCAAAGTAGGATAATTCTGGGGAAGGATAGAAGAAGGAAGAATTCTGCATTTCAGACCTGCTCCCAATCCTATCTCTGGATTTTGTTCAATGAGTTTGTAATGAAAAATATGAAATTTCTTGAAATAAGAACCAGCCTGAGCACTGCCACGCCTTAGGTTCACTGCTGGTCTGGCATGAGTACACTGCTAGGGTGTAATGTATACCACTGCATCTTGGAAATGGTCTCCCAAACCCTTCTGCCTCCCCAAGATTCTATAAATTTGTTTTCATAATTATAGTATTTGATCCATTCAGAGTAACATAACTTATTTAGCTGACAGTGACTTTCAACATTAATATTATGTCACTATTCTTTACAAAATACCAGTTTTATATTTTTCACAGAACAGTTGGGAATGTACAAGCAAACAGCTATTGCAAATAATTATCTTCTCTTCTTTCTTCACAACTGCCTTCTCTGTTTCAAAATTTTTCTCCTATTTTGATTTTTTAAAATTTCAGTCATTAAAAAGCTATAGAAGGTTTCTTTATTCTGAAACAGTAACAGATCAATCCTTGAATAAACTACACCATCTGTCTTCCCCTGCATAATGTGCTTTTAAGTGACATTTATTGAAAGGTTCTACTAAAATAAATCCAAACCTACACAAGCAACAGCCATATTCATTCCCTTAAGAACACATGACTTTGGATAAACCTTTTGATTTTGGTACTTGACTACTGCTTTGGAAATTTCAAAACTTAACTCCTCTAAGTTCTGCCTTAGTTACTTAAGTCCTCCCAACAGCCACTTCTTTTACTAAACAAACAGTTGCTTAATATGAAAAACTCTAAACAGCAACTATAAGAACTAAAAGCAAGAACAAAGGCAATTAAGCCTTTTGTTTGTAGAGACAAGAAAAAAATAATGTTCACACTTGAATTATCTTTTTGATTGCAGCAGACATTTTACAACTTCTGAAACCTTTAGGTTCCCCTGTTAGCGGTAAAAGCTTCCTTGATGCTTCTAAATCTTCATATATTTTTGGGAAAAGCACCCACTTTTCAGTAAGAGTTATCTAAGGTTTCAATAACAATATGTTCTAGTACATAAATCATCACAATAATTAATGTTTGGAAGAGCATAAAATAATAAGCCAACAAAAAACTTTAAACAAGAAGCTCTCTGTGCTGCTGGAATTCTTATGGAACACCAGGGAGGCTGAGAATTACCAAATGCAAACTGGTAAGGAGCTTACCAGCAGGACACTCCTAAAGAGCCTCCCCTCTTCGGGCCTGAAACTGATTTCAGTGGGGCAAATGCAGGGACACACAGAAACCAACTGCATAGTGGAACACGTGGTCCCAAAAGCAAGGAATGGCCCCACAAGTACTTTAACACCCTACACTTAATAATAATGCTAAACAGACATGTTACAGGTACTTGGTCTGGGTGGAAACTAAAAGCATGAGTATGATCTTTTTTTTTTTCCATTCCCTGACTTTTCTTCCCTGAATCCCAGACCTGACTCTTGGCTACTGGGAGGAAAAGAAATAGCAGCATCATGACAGAACACAGCTATTTCAGAATGGCCTGACAGTTGCCACCTTCTTCCTAACCCTTCAGTCACCATGAGGCCTTCCACCCTTTTAGACCCCTGCGTCTGAGCTCCTGTTCCTCCTCCAGCATTTGCAACTCTGAAACCTTAGGACTGGGAAGAGGAAGTTAAATATAACTAAACCACTGCTGACACCTGTTGTCAGCCCTGAGAAATCTGCATTAATCGGGCCTGGTATACTTAATACAGTAAAGTAAGGGGTGGGAACACCAAAAAACCCTCAACTCAAACCACTATAGAAGCTCTCACTCCCCTTGGTTCTCACATTCATAATGTTGCAGGCCCAGGAAGCAGGGATGGGCACCAAGTAGGGGCCTTGGAGAGGAGTTAGAAATCACCTCACTACATAAATTAAGCTTTGATAGCACCAATTTGAAGTGGAATTTCAACCAAATCGGCAGAATAAGGTAAAAGACTGCCTCATCCTGAAAATGATGTGGGACCATCAAGTCATCTGGTAAAGAAAAAGTATTCCAGTAACATGCGCAGCTACTAAATTAGGTTTCTAGGCAATTCTGAGAATGTAACAATGTGGAAATGAATAGGGACATCCTACAGGAAACAAGGCAGGGAATAGCAAATCACAGTACCAGTGAAAGCAAGATATAGACTTCAATTGAAAACACAAGCCTTCACCTCTAATGTTATTTACATTTTATTACACAAACGAAAAAAATCCACCAGAGGAACAAATACCAGCCTTGGAAACACAACAGGTGACAAACAGTTCAGAAAAGAAAATGCTCCAGTACGCAACAACCCTTCATTTCCTCAAAGTTACCAAGAAACTAGGACAAGAACATATATACTGCCGCTGTTAATGGGGAGAGCTGCAGGCAGGTCCCCCAGGGCCGCTCCCAGGGCACACGGCTGAGCCTCCGCCCCGGGCCCGCCACACCAGAGACCTCCCACGGCCACGCAGGGCAGACAGGGAAAATAAACCACCGACAGCTAAGCGGGACGCAACCGAGCGGGCACGTCCAGTCTCCATGTGTTTTTCTCTTCTGTACACCAGACGTACGCAGAAGTACCGTACGAGCAGTGCTATGAAAGTCAGTCAGGTTTGGCACGCCACAGCCAAAGGCCACACAACCTTTCTCTGTGCGGACTCCCCAGTGTGAGCGGTACCAGAGAAAGTCCGGCCCGGCCCTGAGGCGCGGACACAGAGGCGAGCCCGGAGCCCCCGCACCGCCGCCATGTCGGGGCCGGGCCCGACGCCGGGCACCGCCCAACGCCTGGCAGAAGCGGGAGGGGGCTGGCGCATGCGCAGGGGCGGGCACTGCCGGGGGGGGCCTGGCCTCTCCCGGAGCCCGCCCAGCCGGCACGAAGCCACGCCCCTCCGCTGGCGGTCGCGCGCCCGTTCCCTGCCGCCGCCGCCGTTTCCTGCCGCGTCCGCGCGCCCGCCTCCCCCCCTAATCCGCCGTCGCAGTCCCGGCCGGGCCGAGCGGGAACATGAACACGGTGCTGTCCCGGGCCAACTCGCTCTTCGCCTTCTCCCTGAGCGTGATGGCGGCGCTCACCTTCGGCTGCTTCATCACCACCGCTTTCAAGGAGCGCAGCGTGCCCGTCAGCATCGCCGTCTCCCGGGTCACGCTGTGAGCGCGGGCGGGAGAGGAGCGGGAGCGGCGGAGGAGGGCGGTGGCGGCGGCTGCTGCCCGCCGGCAAGGGGAGGGATTCGGAGGCCGCCGGGGCACGGCCGGGGCGGGTGAGGGGACCCTGATGCCCGGCGGGGGCAGCTGTCCCTGGCCCCCGGCGCGGCCGCCCCGGGCTCGGCCTCCTGCGCGCTCCCGCCCGGCCAATGGGGGAGCCCCACGACGGCGGGGCCGGGGCGGTTCGCTCCGGGCAGCCCTGAGGGACCGGCGCTCAGGGACCGGCCCCGCGCGGTACCGGCCGCTGCCGGGCTCGCGGGCCCGCAACCGGCCCCTGCTCAGAACGGAGCGGCGGCTCACGGCCGAGCCGAGAACTGCTGCCGGCAGGTTTGGGGAGGCAGGGACCCAGATGAGCATACAAATTATCCTGTGGTCATCCGGTCGTAGTGCCTTTTCCTTCTAATCTGTAGTTCCCTCAGATTTCCCTGTTGACAACCTGTCGTCCTTTCTTGTCTGTGACAAGTAGATTGACTGGGATGGCTTCTCTTCTGCGAGAGGTACCAGATGTAGGACACATAATACCACATCAAAAGTGTGTTGCCCACAGACAAAACGTTCTGATGCAAACTTGTGCTGGGGAACCTTTATTTTTCAATTTTGGTGGTGTTTTGTTGTGTTTTTTTTTTTCTCGGAAGGGAAGTTTTGTCCTAGGACACTTCCGCCAAGTTAAGGATGTATGATGTGGAAGGCAATGGTTTCACACGCAGTTGAGCAGCTGTTACTGCCACCAAAGAGTGGAGGTCTTTGGTCCCGCTTCTGGCCACATGGCCCTTTGCCAGAGCTCCAGGGCGGAATCAGGCTCGTAGGACACTTCAGTGACCTGCTTTAACTCAGCTAATGTTTTTTGTTTGGTTGGTTTGGGCCCAGATTAGTGAGCTAAAGCAGCCCATCCCTGAAAGTGTTTTAAGGCCAGGTTGGATGAAGCTCTGGGCAACTTGGTCCAGTGAAAAGTGTTCCTGTCCACGGCAGGGAGGTTGGAACTAGGTGATCTTAAAGGTCCCTCCCAACCCAGGCCATTCAATGATTCTGTGATGATTCTGTGGAGCTTTGGAGCCACTCGAAGGTAAGTGGCACCATTGGATGGCTAGCAGCAGGATTTGAGAGGGCGGATGAATGCAGATAGGGTGGGGACTGCCATCACCTTTCAGAGTGGTTTAATACCACAGGAAAAGAAACTTCATATTTACGCTAGACTGAGGATTGCAAACAACATAAAACTGGCATAAAAAGCATATTTTTGAGTTTTATGGTGAGCTCAGTGTATATGAGTTAGCATCCTAATGCCTAATTTGGATGAAATTTATATTGCTAGTGCCGTCTGTGAGGCACAGATCTGGTATTACTGAGAGATGTTACACCTCAGTTGCTTGTCTTGAATTTCTGCAGACCCCAGCCTTAGGGCCTGCTACTGCACAAGATTGGCAGTGCTTAAGAAGTGAAGTCAAGTGCTTGATAAGGTTTACTACTTCAAAAGATACTGCTTTTTGCAAAGGGATGAAAATTCATAGCAAGACTTAAATCAGGAAGTTATGGTGGTGTTTTTCTTAACTAGTGTCCCCAAAAGTGTTTTGTCCGCTGGTAAACAGTTTTTTGGTTGGTTTTTTTATTAAATTACCAAACTTAGTTTTTTAAGAAAATTATATTTTAATTGACTAATTTCCAAACTGGAATAAATGTAACTATGAAGTTCATAATTCGTAAAAAATTTGTTACATTAGGAATTAAGATTTGTAGCTGATTGTCAAGCTGATTGCTTATAGTATTCCTCTTTGTAGAGGGTAAGTTGGGTAAATTGATAAGCTTTATGAGTACATATGGAAATATCTGCTGTGTGTCTGTTTCTTTTTTTTTCCAGTTTCTTTTTCTATTGCGGTTTAGTATGGCAATGTCAGATATTGTTCCAAATGTGGCTTTTTAATGAAGCCTTCCAAAATGATATGATTTTCCATAATGTAGAGCAAAATAAGCATTTTCTTTATGTTGCTACTTATACTGTACAGGGATAAATCTCAAAACTTGTATGAACTACACACCTAAACTCATTTATCGGAATGGTTGGAGTGTCCTGTACAAGACTGAGCACTAGAAGCTTTTTTTTGGGGGGGGGGGAACGTTGAGAAATAATATTGAAAATGCTTGCCAGGAGACAGCTATGCTGACGGTGTTCCAATCAGATTTATATATTTGGGTATGGCTAACACATATTTTACTAAAATGAAATGTAGTCCGGTTTAGATTCAGAGAGGTACAGATTTTTGTTAAGAGGAAAAGGTCTGTAGGCTACATGCATGTCTTAGACCAGTATGCTGGCAAGGCCTGTCATTCAAAACTGGGACACCTTAATTTCTGGAAGATAGGTGATAGTTGATTATGTTTTAGCCAAAAGTATTTAAAACAAAATACAGAAAATGGATGAGAGAAATATCTGATAACAGTCATAATTTATGTAATGTGTAAAAGACAAATAATGAGAAAGATTAATCTTGTGTTTTGTTTTGTCTTAGAAAAAATGTAGAAGATTTCACTGGACCTAGAGAAAGAAGTGATCTGGGATTTGTCACATTTGACATTACTGCAGATATCCTTAATGGAAAAAATGTTTTTCCAACTTTTGAAATAAGAACCCTTTGATGTCTATTTTTGTTACCTTATAATCTTCACATGTTCGGGACTTGGGGAAACTAGCAATTTGTCTTAAAATAAAATTTAAAGCAGGAAAAAGTAGTATTCTGCATAGCTATGGCAGTGAAACAAAATAGCTGCTTGGTCTCTAGTAGGTGACAAGTTGTTTTCTCTTTTTAATGCCTGCTTTTAAAATAGTGAAGTGCACTGTATCTAATAATGGCAAGTGCAGTTTAACATCTGAACAGTATTACTGTTGAGTGAAGTTTATATTGGTGGTTTGAGAAGTGAATTAATGATAGAGTTTATATAGCATACTATTGTGATTGTCATACCAAATCTAGAAACTGATGCACCTTTCAAACTCATTTTGTCATGAGGCTTTCAAAGTTCTAGTTGCATAGAAGTACCTATCTTCTTTTAAAAATAAACAAAACATTGTAATCCTTTACTTGCTTAGGTGTTATACTCTCTAATATTTAGCATTTAATAGTATGAAATTCATTGGGAAGCATATGATGTGCTACAAAATTTATCACATTTTTTTGTCCTCTTTCTCAATTACTATTACAGTTTTGCAGTTTTCTTTTGTATTTCTTTGCTTCCCTTTTAGCCCAGGTTTTACTGGGGAAAGAGAATTGTGTTGTGGGTATTTCTGGTTTTTTTTCATTTGTGTTGAGTAAGTTTTTAGACACTAGAAGGGAATTATCCTTAGAATTTAGGCTCTTGAGAAAAATCTGTGTTTTCCTGCAGAAGTCAGTACCAAATATGAGGCAGCATGCTTTACCTCAGGTGATTACACTAAGCCTTGCTTTGCAGCTGGGCTGAAATTGCTGGGATTTTTCCCTGTATACTGTTTTTTGTCACTGTTAGGCAAGACATTGATTACCTTTGTGTTTCATTTTCCCTGTTTTGAAGAACGCTATGTTCTGTAAGCAAACTACACAAAATACAACACTGATAATGAGTGCTGGACAGATTAAATCAGATTTGTGCAGGTCTGTCTTGCACAGCAATAAGAGGATTATTTTTTTTTATCAGATGGAAGCAGGAGAGGTAAGCTCCTGAGTCTGAGTTTTACCTATGAAATGCTTATACATATTAAAATCAGAGTCTGAAATTCTAAAATAGATGCATGGATTTGTGTGCAGTGTATATAGGTGGAAGCAGAGCAAGGCAGGACAGGACCTGTAAAAGAAATGTTCTCATACAAGGATTAGTCTACAATAAAGGGCATAAAGATTCCATGGTTTAATGGTTTCTAATAGTAGCAGTAATTTTATTTTTTTTGATAAAGAGTCTGACTTAATCTTTCATGCCTGGCATAAATAAACCTTGCAATGTTTAGAGCTGTAAAATGCAACTCTCTGGTAGGGTTTTTTTAGTCAAAATTTTTAAAGAAATACGGGTACATGGGCTCTCTTAACTACTGGAAGCAAGTTGTTAGTCCTGGCAAAAATTAAATAAAGTGGCAGTTAGAAAAATAAACTAGGGAAAGGAAAGGAAAGGATACAGTTTTCACAAACTCCTTTAAGCTTACTTAAGTTGTTGCCAACTTTTGCAAGTGGTACGAAATCCTTTGTTATTTTCAGCTAGATGACAAACAATGTTCAAGTAGAATACCTCTATCTATTCTTTCAGTGACAGCAGTTAAATAATTGATTCTTTCCTTTCTTGCCTTTTGAATTAGTAGCTTAAAAACATGATTTAGTCTTGATGAATGAGTGGAAGATGATACAACAGATTTTGAGACTAGTTAGGGAATCTATTCTTGAGAAAATGGCAAATAGAATACTAAAGAGGACTGAGAAAATTTACAGCTAATCTTTATTGAGAGTTAAAAGGATTTTCTTTAGTAGTCACACATGGT